GTTAGCGAACACTCTCCCACTAAGATACATCTCTATGATTATGATTATGATTATGATTATTATTTTGAGACAGGGTCCCACTAAGTTACCCAGGCTGGCCTCAAACTTGCTATTCTCCTGCCTCAGCCTCACAAGTTGCTGTAATTACAGGCAAACGTCACTACTCCTGTCTTCAATAGAACATTTCAAAATATATTTTCCTGCTTAGATTTGGAATCTTGCTTCCCTGAAGGCAGCAATGATGCTTATGTGTACATAAAGCATCTTGAGTCGAATGTTCAGTTTTAAGTTATATTAACTATATTATCTACATAAAGTATAACTTAAATTTTAGCATTTCCTCACTGGAAATTTTAAGGAATTAAAAGAGGACAATCAAACCAAAGGTTGATGTAATATTTAGCTTCTAAGTCAATTAGAATAAATAAATGTGATGGGATAGGGTTTTTCTTTTGATGATATGCTTTTAAAACCTCTGATCTCAATATAATATTTTTAAAGACTTGTTTTATTTTTGAAATTGTTTTCTTTTTTAAATTTTTTTTCTACATTTTTATTGGTACATTACAGCTGTACCTAATGATGGGATTTGTTGTTACATATTATTTCTGAATTCTTGAAAGCTCAGCATCTCTCTGGCTAACATAAGTTTAAAGGCCTTTTCCCATTTCTTACCATATGTACAAAAGATTAAATTGTTCATTCTTATATGTACTTTGAAAATTTATTCCTGGGCTGGGGATGTGGCTCAAGCGGTAGCACGCTGGCCTGGTATGCACGGGGTGCTGGGTTCAATCCTCAGCACCGCATAAAAATAAAATAAAGATGTTGTGTCCACCAAAAACTAAAAAAATAAATATTAAAAAATTCTCTCGAAAAAAAAAATTATTCCTTTTAAAATACCTCAACTTACCATCTACTCAAATATTAATGATATATGCAACATCAGAGCAGGTATCAGGCATAAGAATTTCTAACCATTCATAGTTGACTTTAATGATTAAATTGCAAAATCTTTTTTTTTTTTAAGAGAGAGTGAGAGAGGAGAGAGAGAATTTTTTTTAATATTTATTTTTTAGTTCTCGGCGGACACAACATCTTTGTTGGTATGTGGTGCTGAGGATCGAACCTGGGCCGCACGCATGCCAGGCGAGCGCGCTACAGCTTGAGCCACATTCCCAGCCCCAAATTGCAGAATCTTGTAAGAACTGGAATACTTTTCATCTCTCCCATGCTGGGTTCCTAAAGTGTGATTCTGATTCCGAAGGTCTTTGGTGGGCTTGGACATTTCTGCAGGTGATTCTGAAGCCTGACCAGGCTGGACACCTCCTGCTCTTAGTACCTTAAGGACACTAACCACCAGTTTTATATTCAAAACAACAAAACTCTGTCCCAACCCTTTGCACTGGCCTGGAGAAGCAGATCAATATTCCACCCCTTTTTGTCAAATTTTTTTGGCAGGGCAGTGGGGATGGAACACAAGGTGTAGCATGCTGGGCAAGGTTCTATCACTGAGCTGTAGCCCCAGTCCTTCTTTTTATCAATTTCTGAGAGACACCAACAGCCTGGGTGAGCCCCCTCCTACCTGCTCCAGATCAGCTCAATCAGTGATGAGTGGGAAGTGCTTTTCCCACCAGTTTGACTAGGGAAGTGGCCACACATCAATTTTCTCACTTAGGAAAATATGTTTCAAGAGCCCATTGTTCAACAGACACGAGTATGGCAATATGTAAATCAATGGAAGTGTAACTGATGTGATTCTGCAATCTGTATACGGGGTAAAAATGGGAGTTCATAACCCACTTGAATCAAAGTGTGAAATATGATATATCAAGAACTATGTAATGTTTTGAACAACCAACAATAAAAAAAATTAAAAATTAAAAAATTAAAAAAGAGCCCATTGTTCACAGGAAGTTCACAGAGAACATAAAAGAAACATAGGTGAAAGAAAAGAAAAAATTCTTTACAAAAAGGGGTGGAATATTGATTTGCCTCTCCAGGCCAGTGCAAAGGCTGGGCCAGAGTTTTGTTGTTTTGAATATAAAGAAGGTCCTAAAGAAACATCCACCTGCTTGTTTCCCTTTTGGCCAGTTTGGGTGAGGACTTGCTGTTGATAATCTTTGTTTCTTGGTTTCATATTGGTGGCATTACAAAGAGGTCAGATTAGCTGGGAGAGGAAAGAAAAGATGCCAAAAGAAAAGGTAACTAAAGATTAACAGTTGGTAGCACTTTCCGTGAGCTAGTTTATAAAGGTAGAAGTAAAGTTGTCAGATTGACACAACTGTCTGCTCTGTCATTAGAATTAATTTAGGAAAAACCAGCAATTTTCACTTGAACTTTTTTTTTTTTTTTTTTTTTTTTTTTGGTACTAGGGATTCAATCCAGAGGTGCTTTGCCACTGAGCCTCATCCCTAGCCACCACCCTTTTTTTTGTTTAATTTAGAGACAGGGTCTTGCTGAGTTTCTTAGGGGCTTGATAAATTGCTAAGGCTGGCTTTGAACTCATGACCCTCCTGCCTCAGTGCTCCCAAGTCACTGAGATTACAGGCATACACTACTTTGCCCAGTGTTCACTTAACCTCTTGAAAATATTTATGCAATGACTTGACCAAACCATGAAAGAAAAATACAATCACAGGACACATTACTCTTTGAATGTTTCATAAGATGTGAATAACCACAAAAACAAAACCTGTGCTAAGATTAAAGTTTAAGTAGCTTTAAAGTATTTTTAGTTCTTTTTATCTGAAATTGTTTAGACTACCTTCAGAGAAACTTCTCTGTTGAGACGCTTTCTAAGGCCAAGGTTAACAAGGCAGGTTGATTTATACAGTAAGAGGGAAAGAGAGAAGAAACGAATCAACAGCAAACATTTGTCAACCACCAAGGGCTGAAATAACAGAGATTGAGCTCTGTAGAGAACTAACAAATATATGTGACGGTAGAGATATTTTGCCTATGTTTCTAGAAACCAAGCAAGTTTATTTGGGTGTACCTTGGAGAAGTGGGTGCTGTCAAATGGCCCTCCCACAGATCTTCTTAACCGCCAACCAAAACCAATGGCCTTCTGCCAACTAATCCAAGGAGTACTTTAAAGTCAACCAGGACCTCCCCATGAAACCTCAAAGTCCTCTAACAGTAAGCCACAGAAATCTAATAAAATAGAACGCACCTGACCCACGTAAGAACATAAGCAGCCCTTGAGTTATATAACAGTGGTAACAAAAAGAAAGGAAGAAATATATACAGAACAGCCTTTCAATCTTGAATCCAGTTTAGAAATCTAACATTTCTGAAGGACTGAGGATTCTACAAAGCTGCAGCAGAGATTCTCAAGGCATAGCCAGCACGACAGTATCAAGTGGAATTAGACGGAAACTTTCTAGAGCAAGAAATAAAATTAGAAGCAGTAGTCTCCCTGTCCTGGTCTCTTCTAGGCAAAATAAGTAGTGGTAGGTGGTTTCAGTGGGCAGCTGTGGCCTGGAGTGGTGTCACCACTAGGATAGTTCATGCCCATTCAAAACGACAAGCCCCCACCTGCATTTAGACTGATGGTCTCTTGATTTTTCCTCCCTACTGAACTGAAGACAGACTGGCCTACTGAGAAGGGGTGAGCCAAACATGGGCTGAATCCAAAGCTAAGGCTTTCCATTCTAGGATGCTGGTCACTAACTGGGCAGCATTGGGAAAGTTAGCCATTTCCCTGGAAGAGACTGCAGGAGGTAATTTGGAAGGCTCTTTCCAACTCTGGAGTTGTGTGTCAAAGCCAGCTGAGACATGGGTGCAAACAGGGGAGGAGCTGTTTCAGAGGTGGCTTGACCCCCTCCTGCCTCAGTGTTGAGACAGGAATTGTTGCTACTGATTTTTAGGTGATGGTGGTAGGGAAGCACAGTTCCCTCAAAACACATGATTTCACAGTAAGCTGGTAAGGGATTTGAACATGACTGGCTCACAGTATTGCAGCTTCTTGTCTTGCCTGAAGTTCCTTAAGGTGACCTAGTAGAGAGGCAAAGACATTTATTTAGGGAGAAGAAGATTCAGGTCACAGAGGAAAAGGTTGTAACAGCATTGGGTACATGATACAGGCAGATTAGTGGAGTGTGGCTCATCCCCAGGCACAAACCACATCAAAACCTACTCAGGATTGTGCTGGATGATTTTGCAATTGTTTGTTAAAACAACAAACCAATGTGATTTCATAATTCCTACACTTGTTTTTCTTTTACTGTCAGTAACAGTCAAGTCCTGACAGGTCTGTACCAAATCCACAGTCAAGAATATCTTGTAGGCTCACTTTCTACACCTGGATACAACTTAAATTGGGAGAGGGGGCACATCTGCCAATTTTCTTTGCCCCAATTGCAAGGCTGCCTAGGTATGGAAAGACGGAGTACCAGGCAGTCATGTTGTCCCAAATCTGGGCAATGTTTGGCTCTAAAAGAAAGGCCTAATGTCGTTTATGATGGACGTGACTTTATAGGAAGTCTATACTACCATCACAAGGGAAGTCTGAGGTTTTAAGTGACAGTTGAATTTGATCCTCCTGAGTGTGGGCTTCATCTTGGAAGTGATCACGGTGGTGGGGAGGCACTTAATGAGGTGGACTCTTTACCATTTACTGTGAAATACTGGCCCCGCAGCTGCAATCTTGGGGACTCACGGATTGCATTAGAGTAGGCAGGATAGTTGGAGGAGGAGGTTACAGGGTGCAGAGTGGCCCACGCAAGCCCTGCAGGTGTCTCAGTCTCCCATCCTAAATCCCCTATGCTCTGTAAACCTGTCTTCAACTCCGTAAAACGGAAAGATCTTAAAAGCGCATCACCACTTCTCCAACTTTCAGAGGTAGCCTGCCCTGTGGGAAGTTTTTCCAGAGGAAGTGTGGGTGCTCAGCCCTCCCTGGCGCAGGCTGCCAAGAGCGCGCGCGGGAGGCGTGGCCGTAGCGGACTCGAGGGAACCCACCCTCCCATCTGTCGTCGTCCTCACCCTGGGAGCTCCCCCTCCGGGAGATAGCACCTCTCGGAGAGGGCGGGAGGCGGGGGCGCGGTATCATCTTCCTCTGCACCAGCCTAGACGAGGTCGGGGAAGTCGCGGGGACCAGTCCTGCGAGGCAGGAGGACGCGCGGCTCCGCTGTGCGACCCCTGGTGCAACCCGGGAAGGTCGGCCCCGGGGAGGGCGCTCGCGAGCTCCCGCCGCTGCCTGCGGCCACCGGGGACTCACGCAGCTGGGCAGCGGGAGGAGGGGACAGCCGAGCACAGTGGTCCAGCCGCGTCCCGAAGAAGTTGGGTCCCTCCGGTGCTCCCCGCCCGCGGCCTCGCTCACGGCAGCCGCTTCTCGCTTCCCTGCAGCCGCGCCAGGACCATGTCAGCCGAGACGGCGAGCGGCCCCACGGAGGACCAGGTGGAGATCCTGGAGTACAACTTCAACAAGGTCAACAAGCACCCGGACCCCACCACGCTGTGCCTCATCGCGGCCGAGGCCGGCCTTTCGGAGGAGGAGACCCAGGTGAGTGCCGCACGTGTCCCGCGCGCCGGACCCGCTGGGGCGGAGGAGTCCCGGTCGCCCCCCGCGTCGCGCCCCCGCCTGATCGCGGGCGGTCTAGAGCCCGGACCCTGCATCGCTGCCACCCCCGCAAGCCCAGCTCCCTGGTTCCCAAGGGCGCCCCGTCTGCCCTCTACCCTCAGCCTGCGGCGGTTGCCCCAGGATCTGCGAAGGCACCAGGGTCACCTTTATGTCCCCTGCTTTTCCACTCTCTCTCTCACAGCCCGGGATAAATTCTGTCCTCCCTCTGGGCTGGGAGCCGCGTCGGTCGCCAGCTCTTGTTTCGATTTCCCTGGCAGCTTGGTATCCCCTCCGGGCTGTGGCGGGAGACCTTCAGGAGCATCTATTCTCAAAGGGGATGTCACAGTTGGAAGGGACCTTAGAATTTAACTACAAATTCAGTGCTCAGATTTGGCAAATGAGGAAACTAAGGCCCAGAGGAAGGGAGTTGTTAGAATGGCAAGGGTCCTTAAGCGTGTTTTCTTCACCACAGCATGCCCCTCTTAGCTGCAAAACTGAAATTGTACCTAGCCAGGCCAATTTGGCTCAGATTTTTTTTTTTTTTTTAATTCCCTGGTTCTAAGGTTTAGAGTCTCTTTCTGGAGTTTTTCAACAATGAAGACATTTGACATCACAGCTGGAGGGGAATTGGCAGCACATACCTCTTAAGTGCTCTGATTTTTAATTTTTTTTAAGAACTCTCTTATTAATCCACCACATTGCTTAGAGAATGCATCACTTGCCTATGTGCAATGTTGGAGTCTTTAGCTGACTTTTTTTTTTTTTTTTTTATAAACCCTGTCCAAACTCTGGCTTCTCTTTTTCCTTCCATCATGAAAAGACAATTTGTTACCAGTGATAAACTACTTGGAACTGAGCTAGCATTTCCAAAGCACTTCACACCTCTAATCTCAAAGCTAAAGCAAAGGACATTGTTACTATTCCCATTTTCTAGAGCACCAGGGACTCTGTCCTCTCCTCACTATGCTCATTTGAAGCTTAAAACCTTGTAATCCATACTCCCTAGGATCCTAGAACCAAGACCCTGGACCCAAACCCAAAATAATTTCTGCTAATTAAGCCAGAGGCATTTTGGAAAACCTGCCCATGGATAATCTTCTCCTTCACAGATCAAGTAGAAAGGCAAACATATCTGTTTCTAGGAAATGGAACAGCTGTCTGATTAACCAGAACCAGAACTAAACGGGAGGTGATTTATTGTAACCCAAGTCTAACAGCTCATGTTTCTTGGAACCCCCCGAGGAGGCAGCCTGCTGAAGTTTGAGCATTTAAAACCCCATGCTATATTTAGGAAAGAGGAATGATTATAGAGACAGCTCATCATTTTAAGGCTGTAGGATACTGTAGGGACAGTACCAACAAGGGATGGTAACCCCTTCTCAGTGTCTGATTGTCCCATGGCAAGTTAGCATTAATCCCTTTACTTGTAAAGCAGAGTAATTATGTTAATATTTGTTGTTCACTATTTTGTGTCTGTGTATATTGTGTGTGTATGAGAGAGAGAAAAAGAGAAAGTTAGATGGATGCTCGGCATCAAACCCAAGCCCTCAAGCATGTTAAACTTACACTCTATTCTACCACTGAACTACACCCCCAGCCCTGTGTGGATCTTTGGAATGGATAATACTTGCCATGTGTTGTTCAAGGAATCCTCCAAGTATTGTTATTTATTTGCCAACATAGCATGAGGGTAGGTACTGTTAGCCCAATTGTCTAGATAAGAGACTGAGGCTTAGAAAGGTTAGGTAACTTGCCCAAGATCACAGTTAGGAGGCAGCCAAGCTAGGACTTGAACCTGGGAAGTTTGGTTTCACAATCAGGATGGAAACAACGGGGTGGGTAGGAGGGAAGGACTGAAAACTCATATTTCCTTCTGAAAAAAAAAAAAATCCATGCATTAAACAATGATCACTCCAGGCCATAGTCAACGGTTCCTCGAGAGCCACCTGATATTAGAGAATTAAAACTAAATCGGAGGGGCTGGAGATGTGGCTCAGCGGTAGTGCGCTCGCCTGGCATGCGTGCGGCCCGGGTTCGATCCTCAGCACCACATACCAACAAAGATGTTGTGTCTGCCGAGAACTAAAAAATAAATATTAAAAATTCAAAAAAAAAAAAAAAAACTAAATCGGGGTAGGCACAGAAAGAAAGGCACCTGCTTCTTTCTGTGGTTGAGGTCTGCAGCTCAGACACCTACACATCAGATCCACCCACCCCTCTCAGGCAGCCCTCCCTCCATTCCCTCTCTTATGCCATCCTCAAATAAACAAATGGTAGACCAGCCCTGACAGCAGTGGGTGTGGGTGAGTCAGCCTCATAGCAGGGGCCCCTTGGCTTCCTCTTCCTGCCATGAGGCCAACACCTTCTTCCTCCCTGTGGCTACCATAGCTCAGCCTGCCTCTGTCTTCCTGCCTAGACCTGCAGGGAGGCATCTGGAACACAGAGCTCAGAGAGAGACAGCTTAGCAAGTTTCAGGAAAGAAGACCCCTAGGTTCCTTGGACAGCCTGTCCTTGGTCACTTCTTACTAGACTGGGTCTCATCTTCCCAATCTTTCTGCCCCCCACTCCTGCCATCTTCATGTGTACTGGGAGATGGGAATGGTTCTCTAATCTCCTCAAACAACTTATACATTTTTTTAAAAAAGTGTCTTCTACAAAAAAAGAAAAGCATATTTTGGAGATATAGTGTCCAATGATGAACTTTCAGGCATTCGTGAAATTATTTTTATTTGTAGCAGTTCTTTTGGGGACCTTGGAATAGTTCCATGGAGGCCAAGGCCCGCTGGGCCCACATATAAGCAGGATCTGTATCAACACATCCCTGTCTCTGTTCTTCACCAGTGTGGCTCTTTACACGCAGCAAGGTCCAAAGCCAAAATAATATTCATCACATAGACCCGAATCTTCACCCTACCCTAACACCAGCCACCTCCAGATAGAATCACACTTAATTTTCCTAGAACAAATAATACTTTACAACAAGAAAAATAAGCATGAGATACTCTTGTGAGGCAGTTCCTGCAACGACTCACTACTGATGATTTGACAGGGGCAAGAGGAGCCAAAAGGTGGACACATTCTCTGACTAGGGGGGGTTTGTGAACCTCTTTTTTTTCCCCTCCAACCTTCCTTACATCAGTTGAGTAATGTACTGACATCCTAACAAGTTTGAGGAAGGCACATCTTTCATGATGACATGAAAACCTAGTCATTGCACTTATGAACCAACCACAAAAGAATCTGCAGCTCTCTTTATAGCTCTCTTTATTTTATTTATTTATTTATTTATTTATTTTTTTGTCTACTGTAGGACAAAACTCTCTGCTATGGGGGGTGGGCAGGCAGATATTCAGAGTGTCATGAAGGATGCTCTAATTTTTTTAAGTTGTATTGACTAGGATCCTAGAATGATTTTTCCCTCTCTAAACAGTAACCTAAACATCACCTACATTTAAGTTAGTTGAACCCGTTTAGAACGCCTCTTTTTATCATTTTGAAGTCAGTGTTAGAAGGGGCTGGGAAAGCTCTTTCATCAGCCCTCTGGGAGCCTAGGATGATCTAGTGTTCTCTATTTTACACACACACACACACACACACACACACACACACACACAATTCAAGTGCAGTGTAGTTGGCATTGGTTCTTGGAGAAGTTTCCAGTATTTTTTTTTTTTTATCTCCTCTTGATGTTTTGGGCTTGTTCCCAGAACCCAGTAGTTTTTAGTTGTTGGATGTTTTATCTGTGGAATAAAGACCTCTAAAGGTCTCCCCGTGAAAAGAATGAAATGTTAGTTGCTAGAGAAAAGGATACGAACAATGTTATTTTGCACTAACCCCTCCCATTCCAGTGTCTCATTATCATCTGTTCAATCAGAGTAAATAAATCTCCATCAGTGGGTGAGGGTAATGAGGGCACGCATTTATAAGCAAGCTAGGGATGAATATCTTTCCCAGGGGATGATGGAAACAAAGGGAGGGAAGGACAAAGCCAGGTGGAAAATCAGCATAGATGTAATGGAGACATATGATTCCACTGTGTTGGGGGGTGGCGCAAGTGAGGGATTTAATGGTTTTTGTTGGATAGCAACTTGTTTGTTAAATCATTATGTATGTATTTGATTTTAAAATATATATATTTGGAAAACAGTTGAGCTTTTCTGGCACCTCCTCCCATCCCCCAGTGCTAGAACTCAATTGGTTAAGCATTTGGATGCCAACTTGCAAATTTGCAAACGTGATCCAGGCTGAAGCAATTTTCGGTAATGCCATCAATATTCTACCTCACTCCATAGTGTAAAGATGTGGGTGGTTCTTTTGAATGGGGCCAGCTCAACTATTTGGTCTTAAATGAGTTCTGATAGAAAGTGAGATTTTTCCTCCTCTAGGTTTTAATTAGTCAGTCTTTAAAATGCTGTCATTTATTCGGCTCTGGTCACTGGAAATCCTATTTAATCAGCACTTGAGGCCTCAAAACCCCCACAGGGCTACCTCATTAAGGAAGCTGGTGTCACGCTGTGCTCAGGCCAGAACCCAGAGTTAGCTGAACACACATATGGATTCTAGAAGAAAATGTGCCCAGCTTTCACAGAACTTGGGTTGAAGCCACCAAAGTTATATGAGCTTTCACTTCTCAAAGATTAGTGATCCCCAGGAGCAAAATATGGCATCCAGGGAGCAATCCCCAAAGAAAGGGCTTCCCTTCCCATCTTGCTGGCCTCTGCTCTGGCTTTAGATTCCTTTTCTCCGCTGTCACTCCCCAGTATAAAGGAGGATAGACAACTGACCTTGACAGCTGTGTGTGGCCGTGAGGTGCACCTCTGCTGTACCAATCGGGGCGTTGTGGTGTGGCCCTGTGACGTTCATCCAGCCTAGCACTGTCACGGAGCCCCAAGCCGTCCTCGAGCCTCACCCCCTTTCTAGTGCCACAGCCTGTCCTCCAGCACTTGTCCTTACAGGCATTTCTGCTCCTGTGCTTTTTCCCATTTTTTTCTGATCTTGAACTGACACTAAAACTCCCTTTCAGATCTCTAGATCTCTGCAGGGATGAGATCTTCCCCAGTATGGCCCTAGAGCCTGGTCCACTGTTCTGAGGTTGAAACTGCATCTGAGCAGCCATCAGGTCATGCTAAGCATGGAGCCACTCTAGATGCTTCCCTCTGCACCGCCTCCATCAGCACATCCCAGGTCTGGTGTCTCAGAGCTGGGCTGTCTCTGATGTTTCCTTTCTGCCCCCTCATTCCCTTGCCCCTAGAAGGAGTGAGTTTCAGAAAGCTCAGAAGGGACAGTAGAGACATCCCCCACCACCAAGCTTACTTCATTTATAGAAGAGCTGAGTGATGCTCTATTTTTAGGGACTTTTTTTTTCCAAGTTTTCATAACTAAATAGTTACAATATAGCTTCCTAATAGAAGGGCCCAGTGCTGCAGAGCCCTGGGCCACCTCCCCAAGCAGCTTGCCTGTTTACACTGAGTGACAGGCACTACCATCATTCTCAATGTGTACCATGACATGTGAGCCGCTGGGAAGCACAGAGGCAACAGAGCTTGGGGATCCCGACTTCTTGTCAAGCTAACCTGTTCTCTCTGGTGGGGATCAAGATTGCTGCTCTGTTTCCTCACTATTCCCTCTTCAAAGTTTTGTTTTGTTTGTTTGTTTTGTTTGGGGGGGTTCCTTGGCAATATTAGGGATGGAACCCAGGGATTCATGCATGCTAGGCAAGGGCTCCACCACTGAGCTATACTCCCAACCCTTTTTACTTTTTGTTTGAGATAGGATCTCACTAAGTTACCCAGGCTGGCCTCAAACTTGCAATCCTCCTGCCTCAGCCCTCTGAGTAGCTGGGATTACAGACATGAACCACCACACCCTGCCAATCTGTTTTCTTAAATCCCAACTTCTTAAGTCCTGATCAACCTGGTCCAGACCCCATCCCCTATTCCCAGCATGCTTCTCCTGAACTCTCATCTACTCCATAGCATAACAAAGACAGCCAGGGACTAGGAGAGTAACATACTGCATTACCACAGCACATCAAAATGTTTTAGTCTTCCTATGGTACCAGGTCTAGAAGCACGACCCCAAATTATGGTCACTTTTTTTTTTTGGTGGGGGGTGGGGGACGGTACTGGGAATTAAACTCAGAGGCACTCAACCACTAAGCCACATCCCCAGCCCTATATTGTATTTTCTTTAGAGACAGGGTCTCACTGAGTTGCTTAGTGCCTCACTTTTGCTGAGGCTGGCTTTGAATTCACAATCCTCCTGCCTTGGCCTCCTGAGCTGCTGGGTTACAGGCCTGTGCCACCTCGCCCAGCACATGATCACTTTTCATGAGATGTGACTATGTGAGTCATACAGAGCTGGAAGATTCCAGTAAACTGTAGGTCTCTCCATCTTCTCTCACTCCTCAGTGGCCCTGGAGCAGGAAAGAGGGGGCTGGCCCCCTCCACAGATCCCCGTGTGCTCCCAGGTTGTCTAGTGCTCAGTTATCATTCATTTTATTCATCAAATTCTTACTAATTAGCTGTCAATGAGCAAAGCCCACAGTAGATCAGCCATAGAGATCTATCTGGGCATCAAGCAATGTCTTTAATTCCTTTTATTCATTCAACAAACATGGATTAATCTCTAACTCTTGATGCAATGGTGATGATATGAAAACAGTTTCTGTTTCTAGAAGAATGTATAGATTTTTTAAAAAGTGAATAGTCCAGGCAATGTGGCATACATTCATAATCCCAGTGACTCAAGAGGCCAAGGCAGGAGGATGGCAAGTTCAAGGTCAGCCTCAGCAACTTGTGAGAACCCTGTCTCAAAATAAAAATAAAAAGGGCTGGGGATGTAATTCAGTGGTAGAATACTCCACTGGTTCACTCCCAAATACTAAAAACAAAACAAAAAGAAAAGTGAATACATAAGCAAATATTTTTTTAAAAAAATATATTAAAAGTTCTATGAAGGCAACAAAGTACTAAAATATATAAGGAGAACCTACTTTTGATAAGAGTGGTCAGGAAGACTTCATCAAGAAGGTTCTATTCAAGCTGAAAACTGTAGATCACAGAAAGACCATCTGATAAAGAATATAGCCCATTCTAAGCATAGGAAATGACTGTGCAAATGTCCTGAGACAGAAAAGTTGGGTGAAATGTGAGAAACGTTTCACCATGCACCCATCCCTTGCTTCCCTCCTTCCCAACTGGGCCACAGAGGCTATGTTTTAGAAAGTAAACAGGCATTTCAGTTTCTCAGTATGTGACAGATAATCTTGTCCCCTTCTCTCTTCCAGAAATGGTTTAAACAGCGCCTGGCCCAGTGGCGGCAGTCGGAAGGCCTGCCCTCAGAGTGCAGATCTGTCACAGACTAAGGAGGCCCCGCACCAGCAGCTCCCCTCCGTGAGGTCCGTCTGCTGATTCTCCTCAACTTCACCATGCCGGTTCAACTTTTCAGTGTAATGATGTATGTTCCAGTGTTAGCTGTCCTGGATTTAACACAGTGTTGTGGTTTTTTAGCTGTACATAACTAGAAAATAACAACCGGAAGCTAACCTCAACTTCCATATAAAGCAGTGGCTTGGCTGGGAAACTCGGTGTGGCTTGCGTGTCCCTCTGGGTTGGAATGACAGATGGTGTGAAAGCCATCTAAGTTTGCTTTGGACCCTCACCTCCCAATGACAATTTGCTTTTACCATCCATTTCAAAACAAGCAAGGCCTCTGTTGAAAAGATAACATGATGGAGCAGGGAAGGCATTTCCTTCTGAATCTCCTTACCTAAGTTTTTCTCCTTAAGTTTCATTTGACACATTGATGGTTGGGTGAGAATACAGAGGTGTATCTGAGTCATTCAAATTTTATAAAACAGCTCCTTGGCATATAGCTGCATTAATTGGGAAAGAACCCCGATGGATTAGAAGCAACGTCAACCAAAATGCAACTCCAGAGATTCAAAAAGTCTTGAATTTATACTTTATTTAATGCATTTGTTAAATTTATTTTGCTAAATAAAATGAACTGCTTTTTGTCTCCGAAATGATATTCTAAATAAAACCTTAACTTTTTGTTGAAAATGCACTGAGTCCTTTACAGATTTTTTTAACCTAATAAGAAACATATCAAAGAGAAAAGCAGAATAGTTCTTCCTAGGAGCTGAGAGTTGTCATTTTCCAAATCCTTGCTTTTCCAAGTGTGGTCCAAGACCAGTCATTAGCATTAGCGGTGAGCCTGTGAGACTCCCAGAATCTCAGACCCCAATCCAGACCTGTGGAATCAGATTCTACATTCCTACTGAGGTCCCCAAATGGTTTTAATGCATAGGAAACTTTGAGCAGCACTGTTTCAAAGGACACCACTGGTCAATTTACGTCAATTTACATCCATTTGCTAAGGTAGCTCATAAATGTCTTAATGGTCTCTCAGTCAAGATGGTGTCAGATTGCATGGAATAATAACTTGGTAACAGATGAACCAAATAGACAAAGGTGGGTAATCCTGGGCTGTTCAAGTAGTTCCCTAATGCTGTCAAGAATTTAGGGTCCCTCTGTATTCTCAACTTTGCTATCTTTAGCACTTGGCTCTGGAGACAGGAGAGGAATGCTGGGACTGAATCTGCATTTCAATGGTAGTGGGGGAAAGGAGGTGGAGGGAGGCAGCTAGAGCAAGTGCTCAAGCCAAAGGCAAATGCCAGCTCAGTCTTTCCTTTTAAAAAGGTTTACATATGGGGCTGAGGTTGTGGCTCAGTGGTAGAGCTCTTGTCTAGCACATGTGAGGCACTGGGTTCAATCCTAAACACAGCATAAAAATAAATATAATAGAGGTATTGTGTCCAACTACAACTAAAAAATAATTTTTTAAAAATATATTAAATAAAGGTATTGTATCCATGTACAACTTGAAAAAAATATTTTTATAAAAGGTTTACGCACAATGCCAGGCAAGGTGGCGTAGGCCTATAATCCCAGCGGCTCAGGAGGCTGAGGCAGGAGGATCACGAGTTCAAAGCCAGCTTCAGCAAAAGCGAGGCACTAAGCAATTCAGACTCTGTCTCTAAATAAAATACAAAAAAAAAAAAAAAAGAGGGGGGTTTTACACACACACACACACACACACACACACACACACATACACACACTGCCTGGAAGTCCCCACTAGCAGCTTTCATCTACATCTCACTGGCCAGAATGGGTCACAAGGCCAGCACTAAGTGAATCTGGGAATCTGGGAAGGTGCCCATTTGTGATTGGGCATGGGGTACAGTTGCTCAGAAGGAAAGCCTGGAGGGTGTAGCTGGGTGATAGGGTGCTTGCCTACTGGGTTTAACCCCAGCACTGCAAAAACCAACCAACCAACCAAAAAAAAAAAAAAAAAAAAAAAGGCAAGAAGGAAAGAGCCAGGCATGTTGGAACACATTTGTAATCCCAGCAATTTGGGAGGCTGAAGCAGGAGGATTGCAAACTTGAGGCAAGGCTGGGCAACTTAACAACACTCTGTCTCAAAATTAAAAAATTAAAAAGGCTGGGATGTGCTCAGTGATTCAAGTGCACCAGCAACCAGCATTCGATCCCTAGTAGACACACACACACACACACACACACACACACACACACACACACCACACACACACACAGAAAGGATGGATATTGGAAAGGCTACTAATAATGTCTATCAATGCAGCCAGGAATGATGCTGGTGAACACTTCTGAACTCTTACCTACAATTCTGGCTCAGTTTTCGAGTTCTTTAAAATAAAGAGCCCAAGAGTAAAAACACTAACAATTGTTCTGAATACAACTGTTTACAAGATCCTATTAAACATCCTTGGTGAGTTTCCTCTCCCCCTACCTTAAAACATTTCTTCTGTAAACAAATAGTGAGCCAGGGCCTGAACAGAATAGCCTCATCTTGGCATCCTCCTCTCAACCTAATTAGTGATGGTCTAAGCATCTGCCAGCCACAGGGTTGTATGCTGACTTTTTTTCTGGGGAAAAAAAAAGGGGGGGGGTGAAGGCAGGGTTTGTAATATACAGCCTTCATTGTGTTGAGGCATATTCCTTGTAGGGATGAGGCAGAAGTATGTCTTTATATTAACACTTGATCATAGAGAGCATTTTTAAACTTTTCTAAGCATTCTCACAGATACTGGATTACCCATTGAGAGGAACGTGGGCCAGTGACACAGAGCACAGATCTGCTCATAAAGTAATGAGAAAGAGAAGCTGAACCAGGCCTAAGAACTAGGTGGGAAGTCTTTCCAGCCCATCTGAGCCATGATTCAATGCCGCAGTCTGGCTGGGCACAAATCACGAGCCACTAAAGCAGGAACAAATTTTATTTTTTCTACTGCAAGAAAAAACCTCACACACGCTCCTGGGGAATCCTCCCGAAAAGCCACGAGGCTCCTCCAGGAACCCCCAGCCGGAAATATCTCCCCGGGAAAACCCTCCTCCTGCCCTTCGCCAACCAATGGNCCGAAAAGCCACGAGGCTCCTCCAGGAACCCCCAGCCGGAAATATCTCCCCGGGAAAACCCTCCTCCTGCCCTTCGCCAACCAATGGGAACTCCCGGGGAATCCCCGTGAGAACTAAAAATAGCGCGAGAACTCAAAATTAGCGCTAGAACTCAAAAGTAGCGGCAGAGGCGGATATTAACGCCTTGCCTGTCAATCAATACTGTTGGCAAAATGCCAGGGGCCATACAGACTCGGCTGTGGCTCTCAGCAATTCAAGAACAATCCAGGACAAGAAGAGTTAACCTGTGGGCAGAAGTCTCACTTCCCTTGAGGGAGTCTGGAGTCCTTGAGTGCCCTAGTTGGGAAGGAAGGAAGGATTCAGTGTTCTTTAAGATGTGAATTTGTTCCCAAGCCTCATCTTCTTGAGTTTGCTTTTTTAAACCATAAAACAAAGATTGTAACACTTTACTTAAAAAAGAGCCTCTTGTAAATAAGTAATAATTACCATTGCTACAAAGTACTCAAGTACATAGGGCGGGCTTATTTTGATCCATAAGCCTTTATGAGAAAACAGAGCTCCAAGTGTTATCCTAGAGTCTCTGCTGGACACCCAGGGTCAGGCCTCTAAGTGATAATATCCACCCTAGACTGAGAGAAATCGCACAAGCTCTCTCTTCTCACCTTGTGTCCTAGCTCCACTACTGTAGACACGGCACAGATCATCCTCAAAGTCCCTCACTGTGGCCATTCAGGCTATAGACGCTGGAAAAATGAAATACTCCCCTTTGTACTCACACTTGAAGTGGTTGTGGTGATGTGACACTGCCTACCCAATGAGACTTAAATTGAAGACTGGGGGGTGGGGCTTGAAAGGAGCATTTTTGCATTTCTTATTTTAGTTTTTGCAATGCTGGGAATTGAACCCAGGGGTCAGGGCATGCTTGGCTGCATTTTTGCATTTCTTTCTTTCTTTTTTTTTTTTTGGCTCTTTTTAGATTTACATGACAATAGAGTGTATTTTGACATATCCCACATACATAGAGCATAACTTTCCATTCTTGTGGTTGTACATGATGTGGAGTTACACTGGTGGTGTATTCATATATGAGCGTAGGAAAGTAGTGTCTGATTCATTCTACTGTCTTTCCCATTCCCATCCCCCTTCCTTCTCTTCATCTAATGAACTTCTATGCTTCCTCCCCCACCCTTATTGTGTGTTAGTATCCATATATCAGAAAGAACTTTTGGATTGGCTTATTTCACTTAGCATGATAGACTCCAGTTCGCATTTTTGTATTTTTTTTTGAGATTTTTAATTAAATTTATTTTCTCTGATACATAAAAACTTACATATAGTACATATTAAGAGGGGTACCATGGGATGGTTTGATACATACAGACATTGTATAATTTTTAACTCATGGTAAAGGTATCTGTATTCTCATTTATCATTTCTTCATAGTAAAACTCTCAAAATAATTTATTTTTGAAGTGAAGAGTACATTTTTGTTATCTATAGAGTCATACTACTGTTCAATAACACAACAGAACGTCTTGCTCCTATCTCACTGTGACTCACCACCCCTTATCAATCTTTCCTCATTCCTCTTAACCCTACTCTCCACAGCTTCTGGTAACCGCCACTATACCCTTGTCTTGTTCCTGGTGTTAGAAAAAAGGGTTTTCAGTGTTTCCTTCAATCAGCATAATGTTGGCTATTATGGGTTTTTAATATATAGCCTTTATTGTGTTGACGCATATTCCTTATAGATATAATATTTCTGAGGGTTTTTTAAAATTTATGTGTTCTAATCAGTTATACATGATAGCAGAATGCTCTTCGATTCATTATACACAAATAGAGCACAATTTTTGACTTCTCTGGTTGTACCCCAAGTAGGGTCACTTCATTCATGCAATCATACATGTACCTAGGGTAATGATGCCCATCTCATGTCACCATCTTTCCTACCCCTACCCCTTCCCCCTTCCCCTTTGCCCCATCCAAAGTTTTCACTCATCCCATGCCCCACCTGATTGGATTGGCATCCACTCATCAGAGAAAACATTCAGCCTTTGGTTTTTTGGGATTTTGGCTTACTTCGCTTAGCATGATAACACCAACTCCATCCATTTACCTGCAAATGCCATGATTTAATTCTCTTTTATTGCTGAGTAACACTCGGTTGTGTGATTTTTGCCTTTCTTGATAAAAGGTACACAGCTTTTCTCCTGTTTTGACTTGAACTAGTTTCATTCGTTAACTATAGAAATAATCCAAAAAGGAAACATACAACATAACAAACAAAATTCATAAAAAATTACTCAGGATCACACCACCCAGAGGTAACCACTTGTTAATCTTAGTATTATGGACTACCATATTGAAGGGGGGAGGACTACTTTCTGCATGTAAGTACACAGAGATCAGGGGAAAAAAATACTTAATATTTAGAAGTTGGTTGCAGTTTGAATTATTTCCCTGAGAGAACGAAAAGATTCTCCCTAAGGAAAAAAGCCTTGGCTTTTTGTTTAGAAAAAGATCTTGATATATTTGGAGGACTGTCTAAAATATAGATCTAGAAGGAGAAGAGGGG